AGAAGGAATGGGAAGGAAAGAATGGAAAGGAAAGGGAAGGAAGGGGAAAGAAGGAAAGGAAAGGAGATTATAATGAGAATGAGTGAGGGTCTCCGGGAAGTTCTGCCTTAGTACTTGGCAGGACAGGTGCTCCCCCTGACATGAGTGATGTCGAGCTGGCCACGCCCCTGCCCCCTGGCCACGCCCACCCCCCTACACAACCCTGATGCAGCCCTCAATGACATCAGGTTTGACACCCCTGCTGTAGGGTGTTGGAGAGAGAGAGAGCGACCTTGCCTGGAAATGGGGATAATTTGACTTTCACGGGGGCCCAAAAATCGATATTTCCTATGCTGTAGAAATCAAAAGAAAGCTGGGCCTCTGGGTATGTGCAGAGTGCATTTAGGATGAAAAGGAGGGGCTTGCTGGGTATGGACATGGAAAAACTCTGCAAAAGCCTGGCATTTCCCTGAATAACTTAAAAGCGTTTTCTCTTTTCTCCAAACACATATTTCTTTTTTTGTGGTTAATACAGGTATAGTCCCCCGACTCATATTTACAACGGCCGCAGCGTCCTGGGGGTCATGTGATCTCCTTTTGCGGCTGTCAATGGGGAAGGCAGATTCACTTAACAACCAGGTTGTTAACTTAACAACTGCAGTGATTCCCATGGCAAGAAAGGTGCTAACACTGATTTAACTGAACATCTCACTTAGTGACAGAAATGGGCTTGATTGCAGTCGTAAGCCAAGGACTACCTCTGATGGAGAAATTTAAGCTTCCCGAATCTTTGAATAGAGCAAACTAATCAGGATCTAATTAGGTATATTTCTGATGGGGGAATGAGGAATTTTGCTAATTTTGCTCCCCCAATTTCATGCCTAACAGCCTGGATTGAACCAAATGCAATTTTTATTATAAAGGCCTGATCCGCAATTTGGGGCTCTTTTGATTTGATTAAATCTTTGATTTAATTGAGGATTGAATTAGATCTTCGATTTAATTGAGGATTGGATTAAGTCTTCGATTTACTTGAGG